ACCGCAGGGCTCACCTGTCTGAAGCAGACAGCTTGGTGCTCGTGCACCTGGGCAGGACGTACCGAGGAAACTCGGGCCAGACGTTGGTGTCGACGAAGGAGCACTGGGTAAGGATTTGTGTTCCGTACTTTTACTGAGACTCGCCCCCGATGGACAACCGCCAGTCCGTGAGCCACTTCAACTGGCTGACAATCTTCGTGAGGCTCTACCAGGACACAGGTGCCTGACCCACGGGGTCTTGCGGGTACTCGGACCCAAAGAACGGTCTCACTCTGAGCTGGGATGGACAGAGCATACCTACAGGCAACTCGACCGATGTCTTCCCTCTCTTCTATGTGATTAGCTGCGTGCACTCTTTTACAATCGGCCAGAATTCGGTCCCAGTCCTGTTTTGCCGGTGACGGAGACATCCGAGCCGGCGGCCCCCGAAACAATTCTTCCCAGCAATCCAGTATAACGTTCATCCCTAAAAGTGCTCGATGATTTCCCAAGCAATGATCTCGGACAATAACTACCCCTTTTTGTTGGACGGGGACCCCTCGGACAAGAAAGTCTACCACGATGTACCCCGTGTAGGGGATGTCCAAACCATTAGCCCCCCGTAGGGTCAGCCTGGAAGCTTCAGTTGCTTGGAGCCGATGATCTGCGAACAACTCCTGGGCCAGGCTCTCCGAGAATAGCGTAACTTGAGACCCTGTGTCAACCAAACAGTCTATCGTGACTCCATTAGCTTGAACCTCCACGGTAGGGCAATGTCCCACCCAGTCATCTCGTGCAACAGGAACAGAAAGAGGGTCACGCAAAGGGGTCCCGGCCACTTGACCCACAGTGGCCGGTGGAACTAAAAACCCCCTTGAGAACCCCGACGAAGCCCACACTGGCGACTGATATGTCCAGGATCTCCACAATTTATACAAATGGGCCTTCCTTGGTCGTCCCACTGGAACCGGGGGCCCACAGGACGTAGGGGGCGGCGCAGAGGACCTCGCCCTTCCTCTGAATACGACCTCTCTCGCCCCACTGCTCCGCCTTCAACTCGCCCTCGACGAAGCTCACCCAGCAGGTTCCGGGATAATTCCGCCATCTGTCCCTTGACATCCTCCAACAGTTCGGCCCTCAGTTTCTGTTTCCAATCGCTCGGTTCGACAGGCGCAGGTCCACTGGCACTACTTGCTGCCACACAGACTGGTGTGCGAGTTACCTCTCCCTGGTCCAGTTCTAACGCCAAGGCCTCTTGTCGCAGAGCCTCAAAGGTCATAGTGGGGTCTCGTCGAAGCTGGAGTCGTATGCCCTGACGTACTGGCCCTTCACGCAGCCCCAAGACGAATTGATCTCGTAACAAGTCATCCCCTTCACCCAGTCCATGTCCGGTCGCCCCTTCAGCCAGCCAAACTGCTCCCGCAACTTCAAGGAGTATGCCCGAAGTGTCTGCGTAGGCCCCTGTTTATAGTTAAAGAACTGGGCACGAAGAGTGGCCACTGGGGTGGAGTCTCCATATAATCCGAACAAGAAATCGAAGATAGTTTTTGCGGTAGCACGTGTGGCTTCCGATGCAGCCAGAACTTCCCTTTTGGCTTCTCCTTCCAGCGACCCCAACACAAACTGTACTCTCTGTGCTGCACTCAGTCCCTGTAGTCCAGCCAGATACTCCGTCTGCGCCTTCCAATCCTGTAAGCTTAACTCCGATCCCGGTCCTCCATAGCGCTGCGCCCAGGGAGCTCCCATGAAGATCGGCATGACTTGAGGACGAGCCGCAGGTGCCTCTTCGTCCGCCATCGCGTACCTGTGGCCGCTACAACTCACGGTGTGTACCCTGCCGACTACGCCACTTTTGATGTCACAGGTCGAGGGGAGGAACGCTCGGGTGACCAACCACCCCCCCTCTAACTGAGTCACCACCGTGAGGAGCCGACACCACAGGCACACAACAGAGGACCCGGAGACAGAGATAAATTTCAAAGGAGTAACAATCTTTATTAAGCCAAAGGTTTCTCACAGTTCAAGAGACTCTCGTCGATGTACGATGATGGAGCAGGGGGGTTGAAGCTTACTTCTCCCCAGCGGTGCTGCAGACTTCCAGACCCAAGAGAAAGTATGTCAGGTAAGGATTCTTCACGGTACAAAGTACTCTCGTTGGTGCACAGTAATGAAGCAGTGGATTAGAAGCTTACTCTTCCCCAGCGGTGCTGCAGACTTCCAGACTCAGACAGTAAGTATGGCGGGTAAGGATTCTTCACAGTACAGAGTACTCTCGTTGGTGCACGATAATAAAGCAGTGGATTAAAAGCTTACTTTTCCCCAGCGGTGCTGCAGACTTCCAGACTCAGACAGTAAGTATGGCAGGTAAGGATTCTTCACAGTACAGAGTACTCTCGTTGGTGCACGATAATAAAGCAGTGGATTAAAAGCTTACTTTTCCCCCAGCGGTGCTGCAGACTTCCAGACTCAGACAGTAAGTATGGCGGGTAAGGATTCTTCACAGTACAGAGTACTCTCGTTGGTGCACGATAATAAACAGTGGATTAAAAGCTTACTTTTCCCCCAGCGGTGCTGCAGACTTCCAGACTCAGACAGTAAGTATGGCGGGTAAGGATTCTTCACAGTACAGAGTACTCTCGTTGGTGCACGATAATAAAGCAGTGGATTAAAAGCTTACTTTTCCCCAGCGGTGCTGCAGACTTCCAGACTCAGACAGTAAGTATGGCAGGTAAGGATTCTTCACAGTACAGAGTACTCTCGTTGGTGCACGATAATAAAGCAGTGGATTAAAAGCTTACTTTTTCCCCAGCGGTGCTGCAGACTTCCAGACTCAGACAGTAAGTATGGCAGGTAAGGATTCTTCACAGTACAGGGTACTCTCGTGGGTGCACGGTAATGAAGCAGTGGATTAACGATTACTTTATCAGCGTTGCTGTATACTTCTGGGCTCAAACAGTAAGTAGAACAGGTGAGGATATTCACAGCAGTACACAGTACTCTCTCTTCAGTTCTCACAATAGGGAGACAGTAGTCATAGGTTACTTTACCAGTGGTGCTGTATGCTTCTGGGCTCAAACAGCAAGTAGAACAGGTGTGGATCTTCACAGTACAAAGTACTCTCTCCTCAGTTCACAGTAGGGCGACAGTGGGTTAAACGATTACTTTATCAGCGTTGCTGTATACTTCTGGGCTCAAACAGTAAGTAGAACAGGTGAGGATAGTCACAGTACACAGTACTCTCTCTTCAGTTCACAATAGGGGGACAGTGAGTCATAAAGTTACTTTACCAGTGGTGCTGTATGCTTCTGGGCTCAAACAGCAAGTAGAACAGGTGTGGATCTTCACAGTACAAAGTATTCTCTCCTCAGTTCACAGTAGGGCGACAGTGGGTTAAACGATTACTTTATCAGCGTTGCTGTATACTTCTGGGCTCAAACAGTAAGTAGAACAGGTGAGGATAGTCACAGTACACAGTACTCTCTCTTCAGTTCACAATAGGGAGACAGTGAGTCATAAGGTTACTTTACCAGTGGTGCTGTATGCTTCTAGGGCTCAAACAGCAAGTAGAACAGGTGGGGATCTTCACAGTACAAAGTACTCTCTCTTCAGTTCACTGTATCACTCTGGGCTTCTGACGGGGGCAGATATAATAACCTTCCACGAACGTGTAAGCATGGATGGGGCCACTTCTCAACAAAGACACAGCACACTTGTGTTCACTTCAATTCCACAGCAATAAATCAATGTGTATCAATAAGGCAAAAGCACTGCAATTCACTCACACGATAGGGTTGGACAGAGGCCCCACTCCGGCCGTTGCGCTCGTTTACAGGGTTTTCACTTTTAATTCCTCCTCATCACACTCTGAAACACATAGCTCCTCCAACAGTCAGATCCACATTCACTGTATCCTCTTCAAGTGGTTCAAATGTTCATAAGATGAAAACAATTCACTTATCTTTCCTCTCTCCTTCCACAGCACAGATCCAGCCCTAGCTCGGCCCAGCAGTCTTCCCACAAACGATCAATCTGACCCAGCAAACTCGAATGGGCGATCTCCACACTCCAACGATTTTTCCAAGGAAGCCTGTATCCAGCACTGCCCAGAGTCAACCCTTTGGAATCTTGACACACTGTACACCCACCAACCGCGCTGCAAACACTCTCTAAATGCTCCTTTTATATTGTGGCTTATGAAACAGGAAGCCTGTGTGAGCGCCGCTCCTCTCTCTCTCACACCTGCAATGCATTAGCGCTAATCAGTACGGGCATGTTTCCATCACACCCGGAACCGTAGTGGAGTGTTGCACCCAATACGTTCCCCTAGGAAACTCAGGACTCTCAAGAAGGTTCCGTTTACTGAGCGATTTTGTCACCCGTGAC